CCACCATGCTTAAAAATTAGAATTCAACAACAACACACATTGCAGAAAAATCTACAAACTCATGGAAATTGAATAATGCACAACTGCACCATTCCTGGGTCAAAGAAGAAATAAAAAAGAAATTAAAGACTTCCTCGAATTTAATGAGAATGAAGACACAACATACACAAACCTATGGGACACTTTGAAAGCAGTGCTATGGGGGAAGTTCATAGCACTTAATGCCCACATGAAGAAACTGGAGAACAGTTATACTAGAGAATTAACAGCAAAGCTGAAAGCTCTAGAACACAAAGAAGCAAACTCGCCCAGGAGGAGTAGACGCTAGGAAATAATCAAGTGGAGGGCTGAAATCAATAAAGTAGAAACTAGGAAAACAATACAAAGAATCAATGCAACGAAGAGTTGGTTCTTTGAGAAAATCAACAAGATAGACAAACCTTTGTCCAAACTTACCAAACAGCAGAGAGTGAACATGCAAATTAACAAAACCAGAAATGTAAAGGGGGACATAACAACGGACTCTGAGGAAATCCAGAGAATCGTTAGGTCATACTTTGAAAACCTGTACTCCACAAAATTCGAATTTAAAGGAAATGGATGACTTCCTGGATAGCTATCACTTGCCAAAACTAAATCAAGAACAGATAAGCAATTTAAATAGACCTATAACCCCTATGGAAATAGAAGCAGTCATCAAAAGTCTCCCAACCAAAAAAAGTCCAGGTCCAGATGGCCTCAGTGCAGAATTCTACCAGAAATTCAAAGAACAGCTTATACCAATTCTTCTCAAAGTATTCCACGCAAAAGAAGCAGAAGGGTCTTTGCCAAACTCTATCTACGAAGCTTCAATAACCTTGATACCCAAGCCACACAAAGATGCCACTAAGAAAGAGAACTTCAGACCAATATCCCTCATGTACATTCATGCAAAAATACTCAATAAAATACTGGCAAATCGGATCCAAGAACACATCAAAACAATCATTCACCACTATCAAGTAGGTTTCATTCCAGGGATGCAGGGATGGTTCAACATACGAAAATCCATCAATGTAATCCCCCATATAAACAAGCTGAAAAACAAAAATCACATGATCATCTCACTAGATGTTGAAAAAGCCTTTGACAACATCCAACACCCCTTCATAATAAAAGTCTTGGAGAGATCTAGGATAACAGGAACATACTTATACATAATAAAATCTATATACAGTAAACCAACATCAAACTAAATGGACAGAAACTCAACTCAATTCCTCTAAAATCAGGAACAAGACAAGGCTGTCCACTCTCTTCATACCTTTTCAACATTGTACTTGAAGTTCTAGCTAGAGCCATACAACAACAAAAGGGATCAAGGGGATACAAATTGGGAAGGATGAGGTCAAACTTTCACTATTTGCAGATGATATGATAGTTTACATCAATGACCCAAAGAACTCTACCAGGGAACTCTTACAGCTGATTAACACCTTCAGCAAAGTGGCAGGCTACAAGATTAACTCAAGAACATCAGTAGCGCTACTATATACAAATGATAAAAGGGCTGAGAAAGAAATCAGAGAAACATCACCCTTTACAATGGCCACAAACAACACAAAATACCTTGGGGTAACGCTAACCAAACAAGTGAAAGACCTGCATCGCAAGAACTTTGAATCTTTAAAGAAAGAATTTAAAGAAGCCCTCAGAAAATGGAAAGATCTCCCATGCTCTTGGATAGGTAGGATCAATGTAGTAAAAATGGCAATCCTGCCAAAAGCAATCTACAGATTCAGTGCAATACCCATTAAAATCCCAGCACAATTCTTCACAGACCTTGAATGAACAATAATCAATTTTGTAGGGGAAAACAAAAGACCCAGGATAGCCAAAACAACCCTGTTCAACCAGGCAACGTCAGGAGGCATCACCATCCCTGACTTCAAGCTCTATTATAGAGCTTTAGTCCTGAAAACAGCTTGGTATTGGCACAAAAATAGGCAGGTAGACCAATGGAATCAAATTGAAAACCCTGATAGTAACCCACACACGTATGAACATCTGATCTTTGACAAAGAAGCTAAAAATATACAATGGAAAAAAGATAGCATCTTCAACAAATGGTGCTGGCATAACTGGAGGCTGGCATGTAGAAGAATGCGGATCGATCCATGTTCATCACCATGCACAAAACTTAAGTCCAAATGGATCAAAGACCTCAACATAAATCCAGCCACACTCAACCTCTTAGAAGAGAAAGTGGGTGGTACCCTTGAATGAATTGGTACAGGAGACAGCTTCCTGAACATAACACCAGTAGCACAGACACTGAGATGGACAATTAATAAATGGAACCTCCTGAAACTGTGAAGCTTCTGTAAGGCAAAGGACACAGTCAGCAAGACAAAAAGGCAGCCCACAGAATGGGAAAAGATATTCACTAACACCACATCTGACAGAGGGTTGATCTCCAAAATTTACAAAGAACTCAAGAAGCAAGTCTCCAAAACACCTAAGGATCTAATTAAAAAGTGGGCTGCAGAACTAGATAGAGAATTTTCAATACAGAAGTCTAAAATGGCTCAACATCCTTAGCCATCTGGGAAATGCAAATCAAAATAAGTCGAGATACCATCTCACTCCTGTCAGAATGGCTAAAATCAAAAACACCAATGACAATTTATGCTGGAGAGGATGTGGTAAAAGGGGAACACTCCTCCATTGCTGGTGGCAGTGCCAACTTGTCCAGCCACTTTGGAAATCAGTATGGAGATTCCTCAGAAAAATGGGAGTAAACCTACCACAAGACCCAGCAACTCCACTCTTAGGCATAATACCAAAAGATGCCCATTCATACAACAAGGATGTCTGTTCCACTATGTTCATAGCAGCATTATTTGTAACAGGCAGAACTTGGAATCAACCTAGATGCCCCCCAACTGAAGAGTGGATAGAGAAAATGTGATACATTTACACAATGGAGTACTATTCCGCAGAAAAAAAAACAATGGAATCCTGAAATTTGCAGGCAAATGGATGACACTAGAAGAAACCATCCTGAGTGAGGTAACACAGTCACAAAAAGAGAAACATGGCATGTACTCTCTCATATATGGAATTTAAACATAGGTCTTGGGAGTGCCAGCCTACAATCCCATGGCCAGAGAGTCTGCGAAACAGAAACTTCATTCAGTGGCTGATGGAAGAAGAGGCAGACCCCCATGGCTAAGCACTGAGCTGAACTCAAGAAAGCCAGTAACAGAGAGGGAGGACTGATGACCAAAGGGATTAAGACTGGGCTGGTTTATCCCCCAGAAACAGCTGACCTGACAAGGGTTAACTCTTGAATCCCAGGCTGATGCCTGGGAATCCAGCATGGGACTAATCAAGACCCCTTGAATGGGGGTGTCAGTGAGGAGGCCTAGGTAATCTATTGAACCTTGAGCAATAGATCAATATTTATCCCGAGTATACAAATGGACTTTGGACTCCCATCCAACAATGTGAGATGCACTCTCACCCTGAACTCTTGGGAGAGGGTCTAGGCCCTTCCCTGGATGAAATGACAGACTATGGACACCCCCAAGGACGGCCTCACCCTCCCTGGGGAAATGAGGGGATATTGGGGGGGGTTGGGGAGAGGGTAGGGGAGTAGAGGAGGGAAACGGAGCGGGACCTGGAACTGACTTGTGAAGCAACCTTTTTCTAATTTAAATTTAAATTTAAAAATAAATAATAAAAAAGAAAAAAGAAACTTGTGAAGTTACTTAGTAAATATAAGACGGAGACTAAACTCTGACACTTGGTTTCCCAGAAGAGATGTACAAAGAACTTGACCATGTGGTGATTAAAGTTATGAAAAACAAAACAAAACAAAAACTTAAACTCACAAAGATAGGATAAGATGATAGAATATTTTCTTTGAATTTTGCCAAATGTTAATGAACTAAATATTGTTAACTATAGTTCTTGCTTGATAACTGTTTTGTTTTATATAATTTTACTATGTCAAAGTTAAAACCTTTCTTTTTAAGAAAGGAAGAGGAAATTATGGGGGATTTCCTTTTGTACATATGTTTGGTCAATAGCCAGGCAGTAAGATAGGCAGGACTACGAGGCCAGGAGAAGGCTGGGGAGAGGAAGGCAGAGAGCGGCAGTAGTTAGATGCCATGTAGAGACCAGGAAGATAGGATGTGCCAGGTGTTCTCTGGTAAGACAAGGCCATGTAGAAATACATAGATTAGTAGTTATTGGATAATAATTGAGAGAGAGCTAGCCAGTAAGAAGCCTTAGCCATCAGCCAGTAGTTTTTCATTAATATAGCATTGTGTGTTTATGTGGGGTGAATTGGCTGTGGGACTAGGCTGGAAAGAAACTCCAGCATCAGCAAACACTTGTGAGATCTGTGTGGGACTGAGAGCCAGTGTCTACAGAGCTGAGGACTGGTGTCGTGTGGTGGCTACGTTGTCAGGACAGAGCTGGGAAGAGAGGAGCCAAACCATGGATCCTCTTTCTATATTGATAGCCCTTTCACCCAGCATTGAAGAGTGGCTAATGCAGTGGATTTTAGTGAGCTCACAAAGTGGTGAATCTATCAACCAAGTTAGACATTATCATCATCCCCCAAGAAACCCTTCTGAAGCCAAGGCAAGAAGAGATTAGTGAGCTGAAAAAGCCATTTCCTCAGAGAGGACAAGATCCCAGCACAGAAGATGTTTGGAAGCAAAAAGGACGGGGTTGGATTGAAAACCAGGGAGGGAGAAACAGAACGTATGGTGAAGGGTTTGGGGAGAAGACAGTCATGTGATGCCAGGAAGCCCGTGTTGAGCCAGGCCTCTCTGCTGTCCGGGTGGCTGAGGGGATGATGGGAACAGCAGGCTGTTAGCAGGGGCTTCAGAGGGGCTGTGAGCTTGGAGGCTCAGGAGAGCTGAGGGAGCTGCTGGGAGATACGAGATGACGTCATGGGGTGTGGAGGAAGACCTTGGATGTGGCCCTGTGTAGATCCTGGGTCTCACCTGACAGCTTTAGCTGCTCTTTGGTCTCCTCAAGAGTTTCCTTCAGTTTCTGGACCTCGACCCGCAGGGCCTCACATTCCGCTTTGTATGTGTCCTGGAGCCTCGCCTCCTGGAGACTCGCCTCGAGGTCTTTCGTCAACCGCTGCAACTTCTCCAGCTCCAGCTCTTTCTCCATGAGGGTGTTCTGTACCTGTGCCAGCTTCTTCTCCAGCTCGTGCAGCCTCTCGTCCTTGTCTTGGAGCAGCTGTGAAGTCAAAGATGCTGGGAGAGGCCTAAGTGCCGTGACTGAGCCCGTTAGAGGTTATACCAGGTCAAGCTGCTGGCATGACACACTGGGATATCCCAAGAACCTTCTGCCCGTGCACTCTGCAACCACTTGGGGTTCCCTCAGGCTGGTCTCACTGCGGTAGCCAGAGGGAGCCTTTCAGAGTGCAAGCTAGAGCTGCCTTTGTTCAAAACCCTCTGCTGGCTTTGGTCTTCCTTAGAAAAAGGCCCGAGTCTTTACAGCCATATCTCAGGAGCCAGGAACCCCTACCTGTCTCAGCTTCCGCTGGTCTCCTGCATCTCATCTGGAGGGTCTTCGTGTTTGCTGTGCCCTCTGTCTGGACCATTCTTTCTCAAAACCCCTTCTCTCTGAGTGTTAGTCATGACACAATGGGACCAATCTAAGGGGTCTCTCAACTGCGTTCAAACCTGAGCCCAGCCACCAAGCTGTTTCAGGACTTCTTCAGACTCTGCCGCCACTCTACTGGAGTCACATGTTAATTGTGTCACCCGCCTCTGTACCCATCTCCCTGTTCTACCATGTGAACTCCACGAGGATGGGGCCGATGTGTGTTCTGTGACGCGTGTCTTAGTGGGTAGGACAGTGTTTGGCATATCATAGGCACTCAAGAGTGCTGCGTGAACACACTGATGACAAAGCCAGAGTCTATAGAATCTTTCCTCTTTAATGCTCCACTTCTCTAGATGTTTCTGTTTTGTCTGGTAGGTTCTAGCCTTATATTAAAATGAGAGGGTTTTTTTGTTATTGTTGTTTTGTTTGTTTATTTTTTATTTTTATTTTTTAGACAGGGTTTCTCTGTATAGCTTTGGAGCCTGTCCTGGAACTCACACTATAGACCAGGCTGGCCTTGAATTCACAGAGATCCTCCTGCCTCTGCCTCCCGAGTGCTGGGATTAAAAGTGTGTGCCATACTGCGCAGAAAATTAGGTTTTAGTGACAGGAAATAGGGGTTGGAGGGTGCTGACCATAAAGGCTTGCACTGGTTTCACAGTTTTCCTGTTCTCAGCTCTGGTTTTAGGCTTTTCCAGGAACACATTTATAATAGCAAGTATAGACCTTATATGCTGCAACAGGGCTCCACTGACATTTCACGATCTCTGATTTATATATGCAAATGACACTTGTGAGTGTGTGAGTGCACACGAGCGTGCGATTTGTTTTTGAGACAAGGGATCATTATGGAGCCTAGGCTGCCTTTGAACTTGTAATCTTCCTGCCTCAACTTCCCAAATTCTGGAATTACAGGCATGCACCACTCTGCCAAGCTTCATACTCAGTTATTAAGAAATACCAAAGAAGTTCTGTGAATGGTGCCTGGCCTGAGGAGCCCTTGGCCTCACTGAATGTGTGCCCATGAGACTTCCACAACAGCCACAGTAAGCAGAGAAGCTCTTGCCCAGGCCCACCAGGCCTTGTCGCCTTGGCTGTTCCAACCACGTCCAAGGGAGTGCCGGCTCACCTTGTCTTTCTTTAGAGTCAGATTCTGCGCCTCTGAGCACTGCTGCTGCAGATCCTCCAGCCGTTGCTGCAAGGCTGCAGTCTCCTTGTCCTTCTTCTCAACGTGGGCTGACGCTTCCTCACGCAGCCCGTGGAGGTCCAGCTCCAGCTTCATCATGTCTAGTGTGGTAAGACAGCACTGCTTACCCGTCAGAGGCCGGGGGGCCCTCCTGCTCCCCAGTCGCGGCTCCCAGCCCTGTTTACCCTTCATGATGTTTTTCTTCTGCTCTGACACGGCTTCCAGCTCCATGCGTAGGTCCTTCACGAGGTTCTGGTACTCCTCCACGTGCAGGCACTGGCTGTCTTTCTGCTCCTGCAGGTGCTTCAGGATCTGCGTGTGGAAGGGAGAGGAGCAGGGTGAGAGCACAAAGAAACCTCCTCCCTCTCTCCCTTCCCTCCCTCCCTCCCTCCAGAGGCCAGAGGTTGATTTCTAGTGTCCTCCTCAATCGTGCTCCACCTTATTTTTTTTGAGGCAGGGTCTCCCATGGAGCCCTACCCACTTTGCTAGACTGGTTCCCAGGCTCAGCCTTTCTCTGCTTTCCCAGTTCTGGGATCAGACAAGTCAACTCCACATTCAGTCACGTCAGGGGCCTATGCTTTCATAGCAAGCGCTTTACTGACTTAACCATCTGTCTGATTGCCGGAAGGGTGCTTTCTTAAAGGCAAAGTGTCCATAGTACAACCACCTGGGGACAGATGGCAGAGAAGAGGGTGTCAGAAGCTGCTGAGGGCATGGGGGAAGACCGCTGCTGCGTGAGACCCTCGGGGCGATGGAAATAGTGTAGACTTGGAAAACAGTGACTGATACCTAACCTTGTGAATACACTAGCAACCAGTGGTGAATTTTGTGTTTTACCAATTACGTCTCGGTCTCACAGACGTTTCAAAAGAGTTAATTTTAAAGAGAATGGAAGACATCATGCTCACACACAATGTCCTCCCTGCAACAGAAGTCTCTAAATGAGCATACAGCTAGGAACCATCCAAGGTACTAGAGACGGTGGTGCACTCACGGACCCTTGCCCGGGGAAGCTGGTCTTTAGCAGAGGGAGACAGTGATAACAGTGACCTAAGGAGAGTTGACGGGGCCATGGAAGGTGCAGCAGAGCCGGGTGAGCGTGGAAGTCGAGGGCGCAGGGTGTGGTGGGCAGAGTGGGGGCTGCAACAGGAGAGTGGGCTGGCCTCACTGAAAAGGGGACCCACTGTGGAAGGGTGGGGGAAGGCATGCCGAAATATCTATGGAAAAGCTTTGATGCAGAGATACTGCTATACTGACAAGGAACTAGATGGAGGCCCAGGAGGAGGCCAGAGGGGTTGGAATGGGAGAAGTGAGGGGAGAGTGGTAGGAGGTGACAAGCCCTGGCTCCTTCCACTGTATTGGGCTCAGAGTTCATTCATACATGTCCTTCCATTCCGAAGAAGGCGATGCCTTCCCAGTGTCAAGGAGGCAGGGCATGGGGCGGAGGGACAGAAACGGACTGCCTGGCATCCGGGGTGTTCGGGGATTTATTATGTGATTTTGAAGTCAATAGGAAGGACAGCTGCGGCATAAAGACAGAGGTGACAGCTGGAGAAATGCAGGGTAGTTACCCAGTGACCCTGGGTGGGCACTGTGGCGGTTCAAAGGCTCACAGCAGGCTGTGCTAACTGTGGGAGGGAGGTTTCTGAGAGAAGCTGATGTGTGGTGTTTTATTCTGAACAGGGCAAGATTGTCACACCCCTGGGTGTGTCTGTGAGAGTGTTTCAGAAGAGTTCAGTTAAGATGGAAGACCCACTGTGAATGTTGGGCTGGGTCCCGGGAGTGAAGGAAAAGGAGAAGGCAAATTGAACACCGGTTTTCATCTCTCGCTGCTTCCTGACTGTGGATGCAATGTGACCAGCCACCTCACGTTCCTGTCACCATGACTTCACTGCCTTGATGGGCTGTAGCCTCAAAATGATCCAAAATAATCCTTTCCTCCATTAAGGATTATAGTTTGAGCACACTGAGGAGCAAAGTAACACACAGGTGTGCACAGCCTTTTTTTTTGGGGAGGCTGGAATCATTTAAAAGTGGCCATTGATGAGATGATGTTGTGTAGCTGTTTCCTCCAGACTGAAACATTTTATTCTGCAGAGACGCTCAAGGCAGAAGGCAAACAACTCAAAATAGTTTCAGGAAGCCTCTGAAACCGACCAGATTCACTAGGTCCCTCCCTGCTGGAGTAAGTAAAAAAGGCAGCCGAGAGACGTTCTTGGACAGGCCAACCTGTAAAATGGTCCTGAGGCCAGACCAGATGAGTCATGTGATGTCTAGACCACCCTTGGGAAGGACACTCTAAACTGTTGAGCTGCCTGCAGGCTGTGCAGTGTGCCCCACGTTGCCAGCTTTTGTGAGGCGTCACACCTCATATGCTAGGGTGGGCTTTGATGCTGCTGCTGTAAGTAACCCCTCACCAATATTCCTGTAAGTAACCCCAATAAAACTCATTCGTTCACCAGGTTGGACTTTGGCGGTATCTGCCCTTTGGCCTGTCATTGGTTCCCTCTCTCGGGTGAGTAGACCTGCAATGTGTCTCCACAGGAAAACTCTTGTCACACAACAGATGGTGTTCTTGGTGAGGATGTGAACATCACTATTTAAACAAACAGTGATGGCATTCGTAGTCCCAAGTCCCAAGGATGATCTTCCAAGTTCAGTATCCATGCCACAGTCAGCTGACTTTCCGGACCTGGAAAGCCCTGCAGTCAGCCTGCTGGCTAGAAGTTCCCTTGTGGAACTTAAGTGTGTTTTTCTTTCTCAGCTCCTCTGTTCCCACTGCATACCTCATCTCCAATAGGCCCAGTGTGTTATCCAAGCTGGTTTTGTCACAGACCTCATGCTTAGGCATGATAGACTTAAGAGCTCACCTATGTATGGGGCCTATGTTTTGACTATCAGCTCTCCAAAGCTTGCTAAGTGTTGACATGGCTTAAATGCTTATTTATTATTAGAACGAACTTGTGATACTGCTTTAAAAATATTTTACGTGTATGCATGTGGTTTGTGTGTGGTAAGTGCATGTGAGTGCCAGTGTCCGTGGAGGGTGGCAGTGGCGGGTACTCTTACAGCTGAAGTTACTGGAAGGTAGGAGCCATCTGATATAGGTGCTGGGAACTGCATTTATGACCTTTGCCACATGGGTGCTCTTACCCGCTGAGTCATTTCTCTGCTTCAAAGTTACAGAATTAAAACAAATACTAATGGGTTTGTACCGATAAATCTCCTCATTTTTTCCCTTTCAACTCTAGACAGGTTCTAGAAGTCTGTAGGGTTTTTCCGAGTCTATCAAGCCAACGGGAGTACTGTCTTGCTTGGATGTAACATTAGAAGAGGATTAGGAGGTAGAAGTTCCACAATCTAACACTGTCTTTGTGGCTGGAGTACATTATGCACAGCAGTAGACTTTGTCAAGGCTGGCCAAGGTCACACAAATACAGAACACTTAAAAACCATAGTATCAAGATAAAAAATAATCAGGGAAATCCGGAAGCAAACTCCCTCAGTGTAATCCCCCAGAGAAGTCAAGGAACGTCACCTTTTTGATGTCCTCGCAGTCTTCTGAGGAGGTAGGGGGATGCCTGTGGGTGGCTGTGTAGGAAGCGAATTCAGCTTGCAATTTTATCAAAGCCTCCTCACGTTCCAGAACCTGCGAGTGGTCACAGATCAGTCAGAATGAGTGGTCAATATCACACACAGACACATGCATGCTCGCGCGCATGCATGCACACACACATACACGCACAAACACACATGCACACACGCAAGGCACGTGCTTGTGACACTTTTTACAGGGGTTTCTCTCTGCAGCACAGATTGGTGGCATACTTACATAGTTCACTGTGCCCTTCCCACAGGTCAGGATGGAGAAGGAATTGTGTTCTCAATCTTATGTCAGGGTTGTCTAAGGCACACTGGAGGGTTACATTTTGGACCTTTCTGAATTGGAGTGCTTAATGGAGGTCTGCTCTATGAAGCAGGCTTTTGGGAGGCTACAATGGAGACATGTACCTAATGTACCATTGGCCAAGAGTCAGTGTGGTGTGCGTGAAAGTATGAATCCTTAAAACAAAAATGAGAGAGCATGAAATTTGTGTGTGCTGTGTCTCTTCAGAATATTGAAGTTAAATCAATGAGGACACATACACCACAAAAAATATGAGCAAGAGGTAGGGGCATTTGAGGAGTCTTGATTAAAGGGATTAGTTGACTCCCTTTCTCACGGCGCTGTGGGGGAGGCTGTTAGGACAATGCTTTAAAGAGAGGTTCCTACCAAAGCATTGCTGCAGGCCAGTTTGTTCCGAAGCTCCTGGATTAGGTCATCCTGCTCAGAAACCTTTTGCCACACTTCAGACAGTCGCTTTAGGGTCTCCTGATGCTCTTGAATCATGCACGGAGAAGTGATGATACGCACCTTCGAGTGGTCGCCTTTGTTTTCAGGCTCCTTGGGACATTTAAAAACAATGAATTTGGTTTTGTTTGTAATTCGTGAGCCAACTTCAGAGTCCTACCAGACTCACATTCTAAAAGTGTGTGCTCTCAAAGGGGTCAAGACCAAGTCAGAGAAACCCATAAAAACAGCTGGCCTGAACAAGGGGAAGCTCATGGACCCCAGACTGGTAGCTGGGAAACTAGCATAGGACTGTTCCAGATCCCCTGGATGAGGATGTCAGTTTGGAGGTCTAGTTAATCTATGGGGCCTCTGGCATTTATTCCTAGCACATGAATGGACTTTGGGAACCCAATTCACACCATGACATTGTAGGCAAGTGTGTATTTCTCTACTATCTCTAGTGCCCTTTCTTTATAGAAAGAACAAACAGTACACACACTTCTAGAACTTTATCTCTGCACTTACATTACAAATGAATCTATATGATAACTGATTTTGAAACTTAAGATGTCTTAGATATTTTCTCATGGTATATGTGCTTCCATTCTATTCTGTCCTTTCAAATTGTTTTAAAATGCATTTATCTAATCTTATGTTGATGGACATACAGGCTCTTTGTGACCTTTTCTCCCCTTAAGATAGAAGCCGAATTGTATACTTTTGCACATCAATCTTTGAGTAGCTGTTTTGGAAAATGTATAGATTAAACTCCTAGAATTGGGCCTGTGGTTCACGGCCCAAACTTAAATAGATTTTGTGTAATTGTCTTTTGAGGAGGCTATGATACTTCACACTCTCATCAATAGGACTTTTGCCAAGATGTTTTAATGTGTGTGAACGTGCATGCAGTTGTGTGTGGAGGTCATTGGAGAACCTCACAAGTCATCTTTAGGGACACTTTCCCCCTCCTTTGAGACAGGGTGTCTCATTGGCCTGAAACTCACCAATTAGGCTTGACTGACTGGCCAGTGATCTTCCTGCCTCCAATTCCCTATGCTGGGATTCCAAGTATGCACCACCACACTCAGTGTTTTCACGTGGGTTCTGGGGGGTCAAACTGAAGTCCAAGTGCTTTCCTGCTGCTGCCACCTCCCCAGATCCACTATATCTAAAAAATTTCCTTAGCTGAAGTTGCATGAGGTTTACTATCCATCTGTCATCGGTCCGCAGTGGTAATGGGGGGAACTGTTGTGAGATATTTGGACACTGTGTGAAGATGTATTGCCGTGATTGGTGTAATAAAGTTCCGAATGCCCAATAACTAGGCAGGGGATATAGGTAGAACTTCTAGGGACAGAGGGAAGAAGGAAGGCAGAGACACCAGTATTTGCAGAGTAAGCAGAATGTGTAGGAGGAGAGGTAACAGCCACGAGCCACATGGCAGAACAAAGGTGAATATAAATGGGCTAATTTAAGCTATAAGAGTTAGTTAAAACAAACCTAGGATATAGGACAAGCTTTCATAATTAATAAGAAGTCTTAGTGTCATTATTTGGGAGCTGGTAGGACAGAGAAAGACTCGTTACAGGGAACTAAGGTACATAACTAAACTAGCTCAGAGTTCTAGTGCGGATGGTGGATCTTGTCTCCAATACACTCTTCTCCCTAATTCATAACTCTTGAAGCACACAAATTTTTGAAATAGTTCATGCTCATTGGGCATGGAAACTGCCCCTGAGCAAGCTAGAGAAAGGTCAGCCAGAAACCCAGAATTGATGACACATGATGCTCATGTAAATAATTCAGCATACAGGAGGCAAAGGATTGGGAGACATAATAGCAAAGTGAGGACATAGTAAGAAAATACATACAGGCTCTAGTATCTTCTTAATACTATAGAATAAAAAATGGAAATTGATTTAAAAGGCATAAAGAATAGCTCCCTGAATAGAGAGCGTCAGATGAAAAGTCCATTGATCATTGAGAGGTGTTAAAGACTAAACTAAAGCATCTTTAGCCTGTTCCACCCTTGGTCAGGGAAAAGAGCACAAAGCAGCAAGGTTGCCAGAGACCCCAGGGAAGACAACTCAGTCAGTTTGTCCATCCAGCTGACTAGCATTCAGGATGATGTCCAAACAATCTTTGGATAGACATGAAAATATTGAAAAAGTTTGCCACTCACAACAGTTTCTGAAAGCATCAAGGAATTCTTATGTAAAAAAAGAAAGTATGAGAATGGAGAATAGGTGAAGTACATGCCTAGGCAATGACAAGCAAACTTTGGAGCCATCTGTCATCTCAAAGAAACAGCTATTTCCTATATGTGGTGAAGTGTTGTAAAGCTTTAGAGAAATCTGGAAAGTTTCCTCACTCATTTTGGATCGGATAAGTCAGATGTCAGTATGAGATGAGATCACAGGGCCTGGAATGGTAGCTCAGGTGTAGAGCTCTTGCCTAGTATGTACGAGGTCCTTGGTTTGACTCCTGGTAAAAAATATAGATAGACAGACAGACAGATAGATAGGTAGTTTAAACTGTCAAATTAATCTTGCTTCTTTAAATTTAATAATAAAAAGTTTAAAAAGTGACATTTTGATCAAGTAGAATATATTCCAGGAAACACAAGGATTATTCTATGCATGGAAATTTAGTAATATGAGGAAATATTACCTATTTTATTAGAGGACAGATCTAGCCCAAGCTGGCTTTGAATTTTCTTTGTAGCCCTAGTTGGCCTTGAATTTGCAATTTCCCTGGCTCAGCATCTCAAGTGTTAGGATTATAAGCATGTACCACCATGTCTGGCAATGACATAAACAGTCATAGCTTCAACTTGAAAAAAGGTTATTAGCAAGAAGCTGATAACAACCTTGTGCTTAATGGTGAGATGTAGGAACACTTTTAAAAAATAATTTATCTATTTATTTTATATCATGGTCACTGCCTCCCCCCATCCTCTCCTCCCAGACCCTCCCCTGACTGCCACTCCCCACTCCCACTCCCTCAGTCCATCTCCATCCAGGAAAGGGAAAGTCTCCCATTAGAATCAACAAAACACAGCATATCAAGTTGCAGTAAGACTAAGCACCTCTCCATGTATTGAGGCTGGGCAAGGTGACCCAGTATGAGGAGTAGGCTCCCAAAAACCTGTAAAAGAGTCAGAGACAACCCCTGTTCTCACTGTTAGGAGTCGGAGACAACCCCTGTTCTCACTGTTAGGAGTCGGAGACAACCCCTGTTCTCACCGTTAGAGGACCAAGCTACACAATTGTAACACATAAGCAGAGTGCTTAGGTCAGCCCCATGCAGGCCTCTTGGTTGCTGGTTCGTCTATGTGCCCCTATGAGCTCAGATAGTTATTGTATGAGCCTTCCTGTGGTGTCCTTGACCTCTCTGGCTCCTACACTCTTTCCCTCAACTCAAGCTCTGGGCGCCCTGCCACTCCACAGCTCCCTCTGGAGTAGGGAAGGCCTTTGGGAGACTGCATGGGAGCCCATCTTTTGTCTTTGTTTAGTCCAGCTTTGCTCCTCTTTGTTCCACAGGCATTAATGCCAAGATCTGCATCCACAAACACTTGGATGTAAGTCTATTTGGGGCCTTTTCTTGGAGAACTCACTGAGTTAGAGGAAAATTTTCTTGCCTTACCCTTCAATTTAACACAACTTAGGAAGATCAAAAATATATTCTATTAAGCTTCTTTTAATCCCAGCACTGGGGAGGCACAGGAATGTGGATCTGAGTTTGCGGCCAGCCTGGTCTACAGAGTGAGTTCCAGGACAGCCAAAGCTATACAGAGAAACCCTGTCTCAACAAAACAAAAGAAAAAAAAACTTCTTTTAATTATTGCTGTTAAGAGTGTAAAATGGTAGAACCATTTTGGTTTATGTGACAATCACCCCAAATAAGCATATGCTTTGATGTATCAGTCCCTTTAATCATGACTCTCCTCTCTCTCCCCTTCCCTCTCTGAAATGGGGTCTGATGAAGCTGCCTTGAACTAGTTGTATAATATTAGGGATTGAGCCCAATTTTCCATGTAACTAGGCAAATTCTGTCAACTGAGTCCCAACCCCCAATCCCTGGTTAGGAGCAATCTTAAAGGAAATCTAGAAGCTGGAAATAATGGAAACTAAGTGCTACAGAATTCAGGGGCAGGAATTCATTTGGTGGGACCTTTGAGTCTTGGGTGGAAGAGGCTAGGACCAGCAGAGGGAAGCACCTAAGAAATGCCCACCAGCTGGAGCTCCCCCTAAGGGACGTGGTGTAGGTCTTACCTGGTTGATGATACCGCTGAGTTCCCCCTCCAGCATCTTCACTTGGCACTCCAGCAACTCGATGTTGCTCAAGGAGGTCTGGTACTTGTCCCTGTAGAGGTTTAGGCTCCTTTCTAGGGAGACAATCTTGTCCCCCGCCAAGGCAAGCTGCTCTTGAGCCAGATGGAGCTTCTCTCCAGCTTTCTTATTACGATTCCCCATTTCCTCCTCATAGAGAATGACCTGTTAGTGTGGGAGAGGAACCACACTGAATCCATGCAATCAGCCGACCAGGAAGGGGAGGATATGACTTCCAGAGTCCATAGTGAGTGCATCTAAACTTGAACCCCTAATGAACAGCGTAAGCACAGCACAGGTCGAAGGGCCCCAGCATTTACTATCGGGTTGTTAGTGATTGAAGTCCTGGCAGTCCTTCTTAGTGCTAAGCTCTTACAGGCAGAAACTGTATCTTCTCCCATTCTCTCTGACATTTGGTAGGAGCTGAACAAACACCTGCTGATTAATAGGGACCAGTTTGTGCCATCCCTTACTGAAAGGACTTGGAATGCCCATGCCCTTTCTTCCCTGGGCACTCTCTAGAGATCTAATTTGGAAAGTGTAGAGTCCTGCATGCACACAGTTTCATGCCAGCAAGTTCCCAAGAGACAGTGAGGGGCCATGACCCGAAGTTCCTCTGAGATCTGCATGATGCTTATGTAAATGACTTTTCGAACCTGTCACCCACTGATTGGAACCTCTAGGATGTTCACGAGCATCAGGCTGGGTGAGGACAAGCTACACACATAAAAGACACAGCCTCACTTCTCTTATAATCTTGACGAAACTATATTTTAAATTAGCAAGTGATTGTATATAGTTGAGTGAGCTAAATTGCATGTCCAGTTATATGTGTTCAAGGAGCCTAGAGGAGAGTCACTATGGAAAACTTCATGTTGTTTCAAACTGTCCAACTCTTGACAGAAATCGGCCTATTAATTAAGCTGGTTAAGCTAACTGCCTCATCTGGGATTCCCCTTAGGAAAGGATTATTTAGTTTAAGGTGTCTGTTAGGGAGAGAGAAGCATTTAATATTCATGTATTATAGCAGGGATGGTTGGTTCCACTCACATTCCTGTAGCTCTCACTAGTATTTGTGTGTGAATGCACATACACACATGTCTATATGTAGAACGTATATAGGGCCAGCTCTGTTGGTATCCATGTAAATTGGTTTGAGGACCTGTGCAGACAGCAAATTCTGAGCATTCATTATTTCTTTGCACACAGCTCATTCCAACCATAAGCTCTTTTGGCTGCTTGCTCTTTCAACCAGAGGGGAAAGACAGGGAAGACATGTTGGTAAGTGAATACCCCCAGGAGTGAATACCAGTGGTGTGGGTTGGGGTCCACTCTGAGAACTGGTCCACAGCATCTTCCAGAGCTCCCCAGGGCTTGAGCCCTAGTTGCCAAGAGTAAGTAATCCACTCCATTTGACCAAACCTCCCCATGCTTCTTGGAATCACTTCCTGGATTCAGTACATGACTGTGCTCATATATGCTCACCTCAGGGTGTGCTGTGGGCAGGACATAGCCTTAGACATCAAGAGAGGTGGGCAGGATGCTCAGAATAAATTTTATTTTCTCAGATTGAGGTTTCTGGTGGTGACTGCTGCTTGGCAAATCTTGCACCTATCCTACTCCTTCTTAATAGCTAAATGTTAATTTGATTTTGACTGGGGGCAGCAATGTTTCCCAAAGAATGGCTTCCTAGGAACTGGTTTAGTCATGTGGTGTGTGTGTGCTTGTGTGTAATTTCTGGCAAGTGTCCTTAAAAGGAAAGCATACATTTTTATCCTCCTCTCCCCTTTCCCTTGGATTATTTGGAATAAGGATGGAGTCTGGCAGTCACTTCAGGTGACCCAGGGAATGGATGTCTTGAATGGATGTGGTGATAAAGCTAAACGTCGGACTTTAGGATGCTGATGACACCTGAAGTTGTCATAACAGCAACAGGCCACCTCCCTCTGACTGTTGCTGACAGCTTTTTTTGGTCCTTGCTACTAAGTAGCATCCCAGCTAATTCAGGGTTGCTTTATACATGCTGGGCTCCGGTTTAGGGTGCAGTTTGAACACTTAGAGCTTTATTAAACCACAGTCGAAGCTCACAGACTTTCCCCAGTGACATTTTGTGGGATAATCTTTCTTCCTTCCTCTCCCAATCATTTTCACAGACTCTTTCTAGGCCATACTATGCCCTTTAAAGAATTTTCTATGCTCTCTGTAAGGCCCCCTTTAAAGTCCCTGGAGTTGGTCTTTAAGTAAAAAAGCACTGTCTAACTCCTTGGAACTTTCGTTAAGTCTGAAAGAAGAAACCATCAGGGGAAGGCACACCTATGAGTCTGCCTACCCCATTATATAGTGCCACCGTGCTAAGACTGTCTGAATCCCTCCTGCCAAACTGGGCCAAGTCCTGTGGGTCTTGGAATTCACTTGGAATTTCACAGGGATGCTGTTCTTTGCTTTAAAAAATATTGCTCTGGAGCATCAATATAAATGAACCTTCAGAATGCACTTAAACTAAGTCTGTAGGCTCTAAAACTCCATCCTGAAGAAACAATATGGCACTTAGTGACCCACTCAGAACCAGGGGCTGGACATCTTAACTGTTTGTGCAGGTGCCGGGGATTTATACAGCACTAAAAGCCAACTTTTCTAAATATATTTGACTTACTGAACCTTTTACTTTTTTTTTAAACTCTGAGAGATCCATAATTTCTTGTATTTTAACACCCATAACAATATGGAGAAGATGGCCTCTCACACATAGATACACCACACGTGTGCGCAGGAGCCGCGCACTCCACACACATTAATACTGGCTGTCTCATCCTAGTCATGCCAGTCCATTTCGTTTCCTTTTGCTAACTTCAGACGGGTCATGAACTAAAGACGGTAGGCTCTTAATCTTCTCAAGGTGGTGCAAAAGCCTCCCTTTGAAACGCAGTGCTTGCCTTCTGTCAGGCAGAGCCTGCGTGCTGGAGATGCAAGGGCACCTGGGGCATGCCGAAGGTTAATCTCGAGATACCTCGTCTTCCTTGAGTTTGCAGTGATGGTGAAGAAGAACCAGGTCGGAAGTCTGCTTCTCCAGGATTGACTGGTACTGCAGGAGGGAGCAATAGGAGTTCTGCAGCTCCTGTGTGCGGAACTCCAGCTCCTGTTGCAGGGTCAGCAGCTTCTTCTTCAGTTGCTGGAGTTGCAGCAGATGACACTGCTTATTGGGCCCAAAGTTTATCTGAGTCTCCTTGAATGTCAATGTCTGGGTTTGCTTCTTGCTCTGTAGCAGATAGGATGTAGATCACAGGGTTAGAGGTCACAGAGGGTGCAGTCAGGGTTAGAGGTCACAGAGGGTGCAGTCAGGGTTAGAGGTCACAGAGGGTGCAGTCAGGGTTAGAGGTCACAGAGGGTGCAGTCAGGGTTAGAGGTCACAGAGGGTGCAGTCAGGGTTAGAGGTCACAGAGGGTGCAGTCAGGGTTAGAGGTCACAGAGGGTACAGTCAGTCTTTGGCCTTTTTGCATTTGTTCAAAATTCGTTCACATCCAGCTCTCCACCCTTGAATGTTTTCATCCACACAGAAATTTCTAAACATTTTACTACATTCCTCAAGCACTGTATCACTTCATATTCTCACTCTGTAAGAAGGAATCAATAGAAGAAAAAATGATTCTTTAAAAAAATTTAAAATGGCCGGGCGGTGGTGGCGCACGCCTTTAATCTCAGCACTCGGGAGGCAGAGGTAGGTGGATCTCTGTGAGTTCGAGACCAAGCCTGGTCTACCGAGCGAGTTCCAGGACAGGCTCCAAAACAATACAGAGAAACCCTGTCTCAAAAAACCAAAAAAAAAAACTTTAAGATGACATCTATTAGTGTGTGTGTGTGTGTGTGTCTACTATGGTTTACATGTGGAGGTTAGAGGGTAGCTTTTGGAAATTAGGTTTTTCCTTTCCCCCATGGGTGTCCTGAGCATCCAACTCAGGTTATCAAGAGTGGTGGCAAGCCCCTTTATCCATTGAGCCATCTCACTCCCCTGCATCTCCAATCCAGAAGCTATTATTTATGTAGGCCAGAAGAAAAAAATCATACATGTAAAGGATCTAGAGAGACATAGTTAACACTGTGCTTATTTGTTACCTAACATGGAAAGATGACAAGCTTGACCTGGGAGGAAGTAAATTTTTGGTCAACTGTCCTTGAGCTGAATTTAGTATTAAAAATACCCAGGCAACACAACAGAGCACTGAAATTGCTTCATTCTAGGCCTTCTGGGATGCTGAAGCATGGAAGGCAGAGACAACACTCATATGTGGGCACCTACTATCTCTCCTGAAGAAGGCAGTGACCTGGTAGATTGACCGTGCGTGTGTACCTCTCTCCTCTCTCTCTCTCTCTCTCTCTCTCTCTCTCTCTCTCTCTCTCTCTCTCTCTCTGTGTAATTCTCTACACAGTCTTCCTGAATATGTTCTGGATCATTCACTGTGTACACTGAACACCTGCACCCCTATCCCAGGCCCTCTGCTGACAGGATACATCCCTGAGTTCTTTTTCCAGGAAAATTGAAATTTTGCATTAGTGCTTCTATATTTTCTTATCCTCCCCCATTATGACAAGTGAGAGAAAGGTAGATAAAGAGGTAGCCTGGTGGTGGCCGTAATTAGCTTCCATCTTTCCACTCATTCTTCAAGGCTCAGTTCACACCCCTCTCTCCTTGTCGGGCTTCCTAACCTGCCTTTGTTCTAGGACTGTGGACCTACCCAGCACATCCTTTTTGTGCTGTTTCTTATTTTGCTTGCAAGTACTTCTGTGTGTCTTTCATTCTACTTGCATTATTAACACCCACAGAATAATGGCTATGTCTGTTCCTACAGGGCGCAGATTAGAGATTCATGCATAGCTCTGTATTTAGACGAAAGAAATGTAAGCTTGGCTTGGGAAATTTTGTTGACTCTTGAGAACTTCAGTCTATGGCCAGAATTACATTTAACAAAACAGCATTTAAGCATGTTTTGGAATATCTTCTTTTTTAAACTTAATATTTTGTACTTTTTTCATATATGAGTACTGTATTTACATCATTTCCATTCCTCCATCTTCCCTTCCAACTCTTCCCATATCTCTCTACTCCCTCTCTAACTCATGATCTTTTATTCTTTAATTATAAACTTTCTGTCCTTATCTGTCATCTATCTATCTATCTATCTATCATCTATCTATTTACTATCTACCTGCCTATCCATCCATCTGACCTACTGAGTTCATTTATTGTTGTTAGCATGTGTTTTGGGCTCTGTACTTGTGATAGGACAACCTATCAGAGGTCTTGTCTATGGGGATGATTGGCTCTTCTTCTCAGCAGCCCTGATAGACTGTAGCTCTTCACCTTAGGATAGGGTCTTGTAAAATTCCCTTGTCCGTGTTGGTATGTAAACGGGTTTTCATTGTCAGGTCTTAAGCCATCATACTGTTGAGGTCTCCCAAGTGCAGTTTTCTGGTCTTGTCTAGAAGACAGGATCTCATAGCAGCTATCCTGGTCCTTGGCCTCTTATAATATTCCCACCCTCTCTTCCATGATTTACCCCAATCCTTAGGTGTAGGAGTTGCATTGTAGATATCTATCACTTGGCACTGGCATCCCACAGTCTCTGTCATGCAAATTAGGGTGGTCCTGTTTGATTCAAATTTAGTCCTGGTCCAAGACTAAGGTGACTTGCTCTCCACATTTTGCCAAGATGTGCAGCTTTATAATAGCTACTATCTGCTGCAAAAAGGAGCTTCTCTGACGAGGGGCGAAAGCTACACTTTAGAACACAGTTAGAAGTGATACTGGTTTGGGAAAATGGCAGTAGTAGATTTTCCTCTAGGGTCTACGACATCTAGCCACGTAGTTGGCTACGTTTGCAGTAGGCATGAAATTCCCTCCTACTGAGTGAGCCTTAAGTTCAATTAGACAGCTGTTGGTTACCCACAAGATAGAAATGCCACTATTGCACCTAGAAGATATCTGGTTGGGCTGGTGATTGTTGTAGTTTGTAGGTTTTCCAGCTTTGTAGGACTATTGACTGCTTTTTCCCGTCTCACTTCACATAGCACCTTCCAATACTATGCGAGTCAGTCTTCAGAAGGCTTCCAGGTCAGTTCCAGCTCAATTCCTCCAAGCCCTGTGTTCAAAGTATGTGGTTTATTCAGCACTAGGATCTTATTTTTTTTTTGTTTATTGAGTACACTGGATGAGGGCTGATTGGCAAGGCAGTAAGTATCACCTGCTGTCTAGCCTAGACCAATGGGGGACTATCTTCCTATGCTCAGATACGTTTCTTTATGTGTAGCTAGTACCATGGGAAGAAGGGTAGTCAGATCAGTTGGTATATAGGAATTTAACATGAGATATTGTGCATGAGTTTATAGTCATTCCAATTGGGGCAGTCTTGGCTGATCCAAATTCAGTTCTGGTCCATGTTTTGGCCTGGTCTCCATCATGATTTCCAAGCCTGTCTGGGACTTTGAATGGAGAAAGATTGACTTAGAGGAGGGAAAAGAGATGACAACTCTCACTAACTTCCTAAGAACCACTGGGGTATGTTCAGAATAGGGTTTTACCTTCAAGTTCTGGAAGACTACCAAGAGCAACAACAATAGCTATGTTGTTTTTCAGTTTCTTGGATTCAAGGCATTAAAAATAATGTTGCTCTAGTTTCACGGAAGTTTAATAGTTTGTAAATGATAAAAATCCTGTCTTTGGTAAGCATGCAAATTGTAATTTGTAGAATTTGATATTTGTAGAATTATGAGAGTGGGCTGTAGAGATGGCTCAGTTAGTGAAGTGCCTGCTATGTAAGCATAAAGGCCTGAGGTCAAATTCCCAGAAACCACGCAAAGCCAGGCATTGTCATCAGAGTCTGGAGCAATAGCACTGGTTATGTAGGGAGAGTGGAGACAGGTGTACATGTGGTCATGCATACATGTGGGGCCAGAGGTTGACATCAGGCATCTTCTTCAATTATTTTCCACCTTAGTATTATGAGACGGGGTCTCTTACTGCATCTGGTGCTTGCCATTTCTACTAAGCCAGCTCTGAGCTCCAGGAATTTGTCATTCCCTCCTAGCCCCCACTGCTGGGCTTACAGATGTGTGCCACCACATCCAGCTTTACCACAGATGCTGGGCATCTTCATTCAGACTCTCATGCTTGCACCGAAGCCCTAGTCCCAGCCTTTTTTCTTCAGAGTGTTTTCTTTTCTAGTGAAGATAGAGATATTATGTTCTTCCTTAACTTTTATTTTGGAATATGGAAAGAAAAAATACAGGCAAAAGTAAAGTTGGAAGTGACTTTAAAGAAGTAATACTGGCTCTTTAGGAGACTGTTCAGGGTTGGGTGCCACTCTGGAGGCCATCTTGTCGACCAGATTTCTCAGCTAGATGTCTGTCCTGGTATCAGCCACATGAAAAGCTGGAGATCTCTGGTTGCCCATAGGAACATGTTCCCATATTTCATCAGCCTTTCATCCACACTGTGTCCAAAGAGATTATAACTATTGCTCCCTCCTTGCCTATGAGGCCACTTGATCACAGAAGGAAATTAATTGGCCTGGCATGATTCATTTTTTGAGAAGTCACATTGGTTTCTACCCAATACTTTGTGCTTTTTGAAGTTGATGCTAATTGATTGATGTTAAGTTCTATATTTTCCCTGATACTGAAGTGAAGCTGACAGGTCTATAATTACCAGGGTTGTCCTTTCTCCCTTTTTAAAAAGATGAGCACTTCATTTACCCTTTTTCAGTCTACAGGGACTTTCTTTATCCTCTTGAGTTCTCAAAAATAATCACTAGCAGCCATGTAATAACACCTGCCAGTTCCTTAAGCACTCTCAGAAGAATGTCATCAGGCCCTGCTGATTTGCCTAAAGCCGGCTTTTCAAAATCCCTTTTAACCATTTATTCCCTCTTTAGGCTTGCTGTTCTACTGTCACAGGTTGGCATTGTTCTGATAACTGTGTCCCTGATGGTTTTCTTTGTTCATTCAAGAACTTAGAATTCCCTGTCTTTCCCCCAGTCATTGCCATGAACTTCTTTTCCCATCTTTGAGGTGTTGAGTGAGATATTTCCTTGGAACTCCATGTTAACCTTCTACATCACCAGAGAGGGCTGTCCATTGCTTCCTATGTAATGTATAAACTATGTGCACTTTTGTTATATTGAGCAACAGGTATTTTTTTAAAATCAATGTTTGTGGTCCAGACATTCTTCTCATCAAACCACTGCTTACATGGGATACATTTTAAAAAAAGCTATTTTGGAATGATTTCCTAGTCCCAGACAAATGCCAAAAATAGGACAAATTCCTCATGGATGTTTCTTTACATTGTCCCAATAATACCTTCTTATGTAACCAAACTAAGAAATTAATGTTGGTAAATTATTAGGAATGGAACTAGATACAGTTTTTGAGTTTTGCATATTTTTCCATTAAGTTTTATTTTTGTTCTATGATCCAATTCAAGATTGAACAATGCATTTAGCAAATTCATTACAACTGCTTCCATTATCAGTGGTTCAAAATGATCTCGTGACAATGCTCACCGGACTTCTACTTATCTTTAGATGTTCAACTAATTACTTTTGTTTGAAAGATGAGCATCTGCTTTATATACCTTTATACTAAAAATAGTGTCCTCCATACATCTCCTGGACTAGTTCAATGACATGAGTTCCAGTCCATAGGTATGGTCCTCGTGCCCCCACCAACGAATAAAACCTGGGAAAATTGCTATAAAGACTCTCCCTTTTCTAACTTAATGTTATTTATTTGATTTCATCTGTGTGTGTGTGTGTGTGTGTGTATGTGTGTGTGTGTGTGTGTGTGTGCAGGTGCAGTGTCAGGGTCAGGCAAGAGCAGGCTGGTCCCCAAAGGGTGAAATACCCATCAGCTCTGCACCCTGGGGGTACCCTACTTTGAAGCAATTCCCTATCTTTAAAAAATTTTTTATTCCAGGAGTAGTGGCACACATGTTTAATCCCAGCACTCAAGAGGCAGAGTCAGGAGGATCTCTGTGAGTTCGAGGCCAACCTGGTCTACAGAGCAAGTTCCAGTACAGTTAGGGCTGTTACACAAAGCAACCCTGTCTCATTCCACAAAAAACTTTATTTTAAATTGTAATTACGTGGATTTGTGTGTCTGAGAGTGTTTATGCAGATGAATGCAGTACACGTGGGTGTCAGAAGAGGGCGTCAGGGGCCCTAGAGCTAGAGTCATAAGAGGTGTGAGCTGCCCAGCACTGGGAGTCCGCTGGGTCTTCTGCAAGAGCAGTATGCTGTTGATGGCTGAGTCACCTCTCCAGCCCCAGGACATCGTTCTCTGTGCTCTGCTCCTGGATTTTGGAGTCTGTATTCTCTGACTTACAGGGTCATGCACTTTCTCTTCTATCACCCATCTTTCTCCCCTTCTGTCTCTTTTGTTGCACATTTTACTTTTCTCCCCTGAGTGTGGTCCTGAATCATGGCCTCCTGCCTGCTCCCCAGCTCCTCATCAGCATTAGTCAAAATCCCAGAAAACCTGCTGTTTTTCCTTTGTCAACACAGTGCATTTCCAGTAGAAGGCAGGTCTTGAAGGAGAGGAGTGTAGGTCTCCATGTAATTGTGTATTTGTATGCGTAGTCTGCAATTTAAATTTTGCACTAAGTGCTAGGGGAAAAAAAAGAGCTTGTTTTTAAAGCTTGTCTCAAGCTGTTAGACCTTCTTCTGGGCAATTAGAATAATAAAATGCAATTTAATGCCTTTCTCCCTCTAAGTTGCTAGATACATTTATAAACCGTGTGGCTTTCTCTGACTGGGGCGATAAGTAAACTCATGATAGCTGTGGTGGAAACATCCTAAAAAGTTAATATTTAGAAAGAAATAAATTATGATCATATCATCTTCCTGAGATTGATTTAGGAAAACCAGTGGATTTTTTTTTTTAATCTTTTTGTGACTTCATGAGGAAGGGTGGCAAGGTCAGTAAGATGAGTGGAGTTGCTTTGCTGGTAGCATATTCAGGCAGCTTCAGAGAATGACCTGTGGTTTATATTGGGAAGTGGTGAGTTCTGGGAGTGTGCCAGCAGATACAATGAGGAGAGACCAGGTCCCTGAGCACCAGGAACGCGTGGCTACCTACACAGCAGTCATGGTTCTAACCCAGGGATTCAGCAAGGGCCTGTGCAACCAATAACTACTTTATGTTTACATGGAACTCAGTTTATAAACAGAAAAAGCAACTATAGTAAGGAATTCTCAGAAATCATGCCATCTGGTCCCCCAATTTGTGTCAATATATTTGGAGACTGGTTTAAACACTTCAGGTTTAGAGTTTTCTAAGAGAAAGAGAACTTCAGGTTGAAGTGAAATTGCTCAGTTGGTGAACTGTCTAGACCTCTGGGTTAGTGCTAATTCAAAGTCAGTCTTGAGAAAGACTAGCATGCCGTGAGGTCTGCCTTTTCACGCTCTAATATGGTATGGGTTACAAAGTGACTTGCGTGGACTGTGAAGTCAGGCCCTGTAAGACAGCATGGAGTGTCAAGTAGTTTATGTGGGAGGTGGTTATAGAAATCTCAGCCATGTTGGGGATTGAGACAAGGGAGAGGAGCAGGTTAAGCTTGTTATGACTGGTCCACTGGGCTTAGCCCCATTGAGGAATTTTGGGAGAGCAAAGAACCAGCCTAGAGTTAACTTGGACTAAGGGGAAAGGGACGTAGTTGTTTGGTTAATCTTGTCCCTATTTATTATTGGTTGAGGACTCTCTGGCACTTGCTTTTTGAGTGACTGAATTCCAACCCTCAGAAGAACAGCTCCCAGGCAGTGAGGCACAGTGTGGCATTAAGAACACCTGACAACTGATGCACAGAGATACCTCAGAGTAGGCTCGGTGGCTCTCACTGCCATGGCTAACTTGGAAGTTTGCCTAAGATGCATGCTTATATCAATCACCATGATCTAGTATTTTCAAGACAAGCCAAATCCAGATGAGGAAAAAGATAATATTCAACATCTCAATAATGCTGGAAATAGCTAGATTGGAAGACCCCAAAGATAGGAATAATTTCTGCTGTGTCAGAGTATGTGTGGTATATTTAGTTCTCTCAGTTAGTACTCTGAGTGACCCACAGTAGAACTTTCTTTTGCTCGCATCAAAAGAAGCTACAGTAGTCACGGGGCCCTGAGGCAGGCAGTTACTGCCTAGTGGCTTACGTGGCTGTTACTCATCATGGCTTCCTCCACACACAGCTGGTTCTCTTGCAAGGTCTTTCCCTGTCTCTTGCAGACATCATGGAGATTCTTGATGTCGATTTGCAGGCTCAAGAGCTTGGTGTTCAGGTTGTTCACTTCTCTGTCTCTCTCCCCGGCCTAGGCAGCCAGAAAAACAAAAGCATCAATTATGAATGATTGAGAAAACACTTGCTTTCCTTCACTTAACAGGTTGACAGAGAAGCTGAATTTGCTGGAAATTCGTTCATCACACCTCTGGTGTTATTACTCATCTTGGGTAACATTTATACAGGATCCATTTGTGAGGTGTCTGAGTGCCCTGCATTATTCAGACAATTATTTATATTAATTAATCTTAGCCATGCTGCTGTGGGTGCATCAGACAATTCTCCTGTTTTTCAGGAGGAAGTCAGTGCCTAGAATGATTCCAGGCACCCAGAGAACTGTCTATAAATATTAATGGTTCTGTCACTGATGAAATAAACATATCGAGATGTCAAATGAACTTGTCAAGACTACATTGAATCAGTGATAGAGTTGATGAGGGATTCTGAAGTCTCTCAACTTTCTCTTTATCCATTAACCACCACCCTCTCCCTGCCTATTAACCTAGTGATTTTCTTTACAAGGCTTCACCATTGGGAGCAAAAGAGAAAGGTCTGGCCTGATCAGTAAGATCCCTGTCTTTGATTAGGAGTTAGAGGAGTTAGCTAATTGTTGCTAGGTCAGAATGGAAAGCAGTGACTGAGATCAAAGTAAAGTGCATAGCAACTTGGGCAGGGCGAGGGCTGGTACAAATTGATGGCAAGTGGGCGGGCTCTCTGTCACCTCATGGTGCCCTTCTCCAGTGTGGGTGGTGGTAACCTGAGAAGAATTTAGCAGGAAGCACTCGGAACCTCTGCAGGGCTTCATTCCTGTCCCTGTACTGCTCTTCATGTTCATGAGGAAGAAGAAAAGTAACTCTCCCAAGCAAACCAGCAAACTGGTTAGGAAGGTGGGGTGGGGAGCCAAGGAGAGAAGGGGAAGAAACTCGTCAGGGGTACTTTTACACAAAGGCCTCTGGGTGCCCTGAGCCTGATCCTACAGGAGACTGCAGAGTACAAAGACATCTCAGAGTCGATCCATCTTGATTGGTGGGAATGAGAGTTGAGTTGTCAGACTTCACACGGTGATGTAGTGGTCAAAGACTGCACTTCCAGCCCTCTGGTGAAAGTGACCTCAGTGACCTTAAAGAAACCATTTTAAGAGGAATTCAGGTCAGGACACACAGTGATGGTGCAGGGATCTGAGCTGCCTTTCCAAAGCCTCACATCTGGTTAGGAAGAGGACCACGGGATCATAGTCTTCTTGACTGTAGAACCAGGGTTCCGTAACCCCCACACCCCCGACTTGGCTTCTGAAATACATGAGCTACACAACACACACTCCCAAGGGAACTGGAGACCTGAGATGGACCCAGTAAATCAGGCATTAGTGGACAGGTCCATTTAGGAGACCTTTGGGCAAGGCCAAGGTGGGCCAGAGGACAGCATAGGGACCGGAACCACAATGTCAGAGTACCCGGAATCCAGATGATTCCTGGAAGCACTGCTGTCTCAACTGATTCACTTCTTCATTTCCATTTAGTACCTGCAGGTTCCCCCACTTTACAGTTTAATTAGGTTAACGGCATGGCTCTGTCATTAAAAGGATTTCATTATCTCAAAACTCTCCCTCCTCCTTTCTAGCTCCTGTCCCTCACTCCTCACTTTCAGAAAAATAACAGTGGATGTCAACTGCCCCAAGCACGTAATTACCATTAAGACAATTACCAGGGACTCTCTTAAGAGAATGTGTCTAGAGTGGTTTAAAGAATTGGGATGCAGACACTGTTTTCTAATTTGAAAACAAAATCTATGTCCCAACAGGGAGCAGCTGCTTTGCCCTAGCCCCTTGGATGCCTCTTCTCGTGGCTGTGGTACAAGGGATGCTGTGGAAACCCACAGGGGAGTTGGACACTCAGGGTCCCCTCCTTTCTGGATAAATGATCATTTGTGTCATCTGTGAATTGGGTGACAATGCTATGCCTGCCCTATAGGAGTCTGAGAATGCTCTGCACTCTCGTCTTGATGCTGATTTTGTCTTAAGGCGAGGACCATTTTCTAGGGGTGCTTGGAATGGAACCACATCCATCAAGGCCTCATTACTACAAAGTCAATGAGACACAACTTAAGCTGCCCCAAGTTATCTATTGAATGCACTCTCACAACTAGTGAAAAAAATATCTGCTCTCTCCAGGTTGGACTACACTCTGAGTAGAAAGCCCAGTGCCGGCCCATTCTTCTCCACCACCAGGCCTTCAGAGCTGGGCCTTCAACGTCATCTAATATGGATATTTAAGATCAGCTTGGAGTCTCTGAGGACATTCTTCATTCATAAAACAAGAGGTTTGGGATAAATCATCTTCCTTTGAAGTTTCCATAAACCAGCTGAATAACAAATGTGTTTTGCTGGATGTCAGATGAAATTTGCTTCTAAAATAAAAATGTAACCATTCATTCCTAAACAGCAAATCATTGAGGTCTTGAGGTGTCAGAACAGGAGTGGAGGCATGTGAGGAGCAATGAGACGCTCCTCAGCATCCATGTTTAATGCAGTTCATTGTAAGAAGAGGCCGTGCTCAGAAACTCAAGACAGGCGAGTTTTCTTGGGGCCCTAATACCTTGTACAAGACATTAGCTGTGAATGATTTCATGTACTTCATGGAGAATGAATTCCAGGCAGATGCTTTTAGAGTATCAATATGCAGCAGGTATAGATTTACTCTGACATTCACCAACCACAGCTCTAAGCAGTACTAGGGGCGGGAGATGGACCAGCAGTCGTAGTGTTGATCCTTGGGCACCATCTGACACCATCCTGATCTGAAGTTGTTAGTGATGACTGAAACAACAAACCTCTGCTGCTAGGTGAGGTTTCATTTCCACAAGCTGTGGACTCAGACACCCAGTTTTACTTATAAGAGATTCCAACAGTGCTATTCTGCGCAGAAGCACATGACATTGGCCAAGCTGCTGACCCACAGGCAAACCAGTAAGTGCCTCCTCAGACACATATTTCAAGAGGGAGATGACATTTTGCTCTGAGTTTTAAAGGGCTGACAAATAGTTTCATGCTTATTCTTAGACAGAGCTGTGTCAAACTTCAGTTTATGACTCAGCAGCACTTGAGGGGTAATATCTAAAATTCAAAATGGTGGCATTCTTAGGGTTTGGGGACTTGAAGGCCTTGAAAAATTGGAATTGTAGTTTCAAGGGTGACTTTGGAGTCAAATGGTGACTTAGGTGATCATCTCTGGGCAAATTGTTTGTCCAAGCAAGAAGATAAATCTTCAACAAATAATTGAAAACCACTTTTAATCATTGCCAATAGTACAGCCACGGGGTAGGTAATAATTTATGGTGAGAGTTATGCTTTAGGAAGCAGAAAGCCGGGGCTGGTGAGAAGTCTTAGCAGGTTATGACGCTGGCCACCAAACCTCATGAGCTGAGTTTGAGAACAGGGACCCACACGGTGGAAATTGTTTTCTGACCTCCACCCCGCCCCCATAAATAGATAAATATAATAAGATTTTTACAAAATCAGAGTCTTAAAAACTAACGTTGCTTCAGGAATTTTTATATTTTACTTGTGATAATTGAGTTTACACTTATCAACAGTAGTTCCAAACATTAATACTGACATTGCTGACTACAGTCCCAAATTTACTGTTATAGAAACACTGCAGTTTTTGCATTACTTTTGGTGGGAATTAATAGAAAGTTTTGCCTTGTGAGCACAAATTTGCTCACATAATATGGACATGGTACTGCTCCAAATCTGGTGATACTGGCATACTTGCAAGTAGGCACTTTAGGACACACATGGTATATGGCAGAGATTGGCTACCTGTGCAATGTGAGCTGCTTTTTGTTGGCACTTCAGTAGACCCTTCATACTTTGGGCCATCATGTCCTGAGGGGCTATTCTGCTAGAGGGCAGGCTCCAGGAGAACAAGGATCTCTATTTCATTTGCTTTTTGAACCTCCAGCTCCTAGAACAATGTCTGGCACATTGAAGGTGTTTGCTCCAAAGACATATGTTAAATTAAAAAAATAGCCTAGAAAATTCATACCAGACCCTTGTTCCCAGCAGGACTAGCAGAGCAGCAAGTCCCACATAGCAGTAGTAACCCAGCAGGAGAGCAGCAGAAATGTTTGTTTTTGGAGCAGCTTATTTCTTGGCAGAGGCACATTCCAATGTGAGACATCTCTACACTTATCCCAATGGGCCTTTTCCATCCTTTGTGGAACAATGAAGGGATACACACAGAGAATTTGGCCAACTCTTGATTGTACAAAGCAGAAAGCTCCATTTCTATATCCTGCTAGGTAAAAAGAAATGTTGGCAAATTCTAGAAAATGTCTATGAGGTGCTTTTACACCCAGTGCCTGAGAATCTACCTGGCAAGCATTTGAAATACATGCTCATCGTGTATATTTCTGAGGCAAGGCAAAGGAGGCTTAGAGAGAGGGGGCAGCATGGTGCAGGCCACTCTGCTGTTAGATGTGGGCCCAGAGCAGCTGAGGCTTAAATCTGGGCTCTTAAATCTATGGTCTGTGGCTTGCTCTGTCCATGGTATTTTCTGATGGACATACCTGGAATGTGGAGGCATGGGCCTTGAAAGAAATCCCTCTCAACAAAGGTTCACCTTCACATACGTGGGAAGTTGGGAGCCTTACCTCATCTTTCAGTCCCTTGGCAGTTCGAAATTCTCCTTTAAGCTTTAGCATTTTCGTGAGCTTTGTTATAAACCTGAAAAAGTCCAAGTGTTTAAGATGGAAAAAGTATAAACGAGTCCAGCCCTGTAAAGATTTTCCCAGCTGGATCTATGCTCTCGGCAGGGGAGTTGGAAAAATCTCCCAAACTGTTAACAATACCGACTTTCTTACCCATCTGTTTGTGTTTTCACGTGTGTTAAAACCTCTGTGAGGGAGGCAGGACCATAGTTTTACATCTTTCCCAGAAAATCGCTATGTGGTGGACTAAAAAGTTTCTGGATTCACTCTTCTAGGGAAGAAAAAGTTCTGAGTTGAGCTTTCTTTCTAGACTTCTAAGCATTCTGTGCATCAGATATAGTTAAGACTTAGCTTTTTAAACAACTAGACAGGTTGTACATGACTTTTTTCCTTAATAATTTTGGGGGGCAAGAACTACTACTATCCCCATCATACAGAGGAGGAAACTGATGCCCCGAGAGGTTAAGTGGCTTACCTAAGGTCACAAAGCTCTCTTACCTACTCCATGAAGTTCACCCACCCATTTTATCACTATGAATTTGAAAAGTCCAATGATGTGTTTTTTTTTTAAAGCATCTACTTGCCTTGGTGGGAATTATAAAGTTAGGAATCTCGTAAAGTGTTGAGAATTATCTAGACTAAAAATCTTCCAGTGAAACTAAAGATGGCTGTACAGGTAATGGTATGTAACTATAGGATGATGCAGTTGAGGTCATAATGCACTGAACTTACTAAAATAATCTAATTCCTTATGTTCCTAACTGTAGGGCTAGAGGGAATTTCCATTAAGTACTTACCTGCAGAATGGTTCCAAGAATGAGAAGCCACCAAATATTCATTCTTTGTAATAAGCTACATCCCCCATCCCTAATATAAGCCAAGAAGAAAGAATGGTTGTGATGCGTGGAGTTTGGAATGTTTTATGAAGTTGCATTCTGATTTTCTGCATTCTAGGCCCTCTTACATCTTCATGCATAGAGATGCATCATGGGAATGATAACATCACCCAGTCTTACCTGGTAGGGCTAGGTTGGGTGATTTTGCACTAACACCCCCCAAATCCCAGCAGCTTAACACTAGGAAGGATTACTTTTCACTCAGGCTACATGTCCTTTGTGAATCATCTGGATCTCTGCCTCACATTGTCCTTACTTAGTTCCTTATTGTCCTCAGCTAGTGGAAGCTCTATTATCTAGTGGTCTGTTGCCATGACAACAGATAGGAAACTTGGTGAAGTACATACCTGTTCATAAAGAGGAAGTGAAGCACTCTACTTCTGCTCACATTTCATTGGTCTAAACAAATTACATGATCATACCTAACTTCCTTTGTTCTCTGAAGGGAGTATTAGTGAACATCACAAATAATTTCCATAGTAGGCAAGTCAAAAAGTTTTAAAGTAACTCGACATCAAAGAATAATCAACAGGGTTCTGAGCTACCAACACTTTTAAACCTAGTTCAAAATCATGTGAGTCATGTCTCATGGGAAGGCCTCATCTCTTTGAGCCATCATCTCTGCCTCTGGAGATGAAGGGGCTGTAGTAAGCAACCTTCATGGTCTGTCATAGCTCTCAACTTCCCTTTGCTGTTCTACCTTGACAAACATCTTTATTTGATAAGAATTATACACTATAAACTCAGTCTGAGCATCCCACACTAGAAATATGACCTTGAGAACAACATCCCTCTTCAGGAACATCCTCTGGGTCATCAGGAGATGATTCTCAAATAGAATCGTATCTAAAAGACAACAACAACAACAACAAAAACCCACAAAAATATTTTTTCTAGACTGTGATGGTTTCAAAGGAAAATTAGAAGAGGTCTGTTCCATTAGCCTCATGAAACTTACTGGACTGTAGCAAGGAAGGCAACTTAGAGGGAAAATAACTGACTTAGAGTGGACAGTAGCCGGTAAAAAGACCTAGGAAACAATGAGGGGGTTTGGTCCCACAAGGAAGACACAGGACTCCTGTGAGTCATTATAGTGGTGGTGGGCAATTTGAAGTGCTTACAGTTGAAAAAGAAGGAAGGCTTGTGTGATACATTTTAGAGGTACTTGATAGTAATGCTTGCCAAGTGGATGAGAAAGAGCATAACGGGAGGTTCCACACTTCACACATGATCGTCTGGAAGCAGCACAATGCTCTTTTAGGAGGATGACTGACAAGCATTTTATGCAGAATGAAACTCACCCCAGTGGGGATAGGAAGGTCTATCAGATCCATGGTCACTGTTCTTTTTTCTTTTGGGTCCAAGACTTCATTAATGTCATCTCCTCTCAAGCCATCTTTGGCTTCACATCTTTGTCTCTCGGATCTCCATTGAGTCCATTGCTTCCTCATGCCTCTTCTGTCTCATTCACCCAGGGAGCTGTTTTCTCATTTTCAAAGCCTTGCCATCGGTTTTTCAAACAGTGTTTTTCTTGATGACGGCTGTGCCCGGGAAAAGAAAGATTAATAGTCTAGATAAAAACTTAGAGACCCATGAAGACAGAACAGTGGGCAAAAGCAGTTGCCATGCAAGCCTGATGACTGGAGTTTGATCCCTGGGATCCATGTTAAGAAAGAAAACAGCTGGGTATAGCAGCATACATCTGTAATCCCAGAATTCCCATGGTTAGGTGAGAGGCAGAGGCAGGAGGGTTGGCTGGAAGTTTCTGGGCTAGCTAGCCTGGAGTATGTTACATGGTGGAAACAAGAGAAACCCATCTCAACAAGTGCCAGGTGAGACCTGAACTCTTAAAAATTGTTCTGTGACCTCCACATGCATGTCATAGCATGCACACATGTACATATTCATGAACACACAGGCCCATGCGCACTTGAGTGCACACAGACACACATACACACTCAACATAACAAAAACAGTTTTAGTTATTTCTAAGAAAGTATTGTTACCAGGTAAAAACCAAATCAGGTTATTTCAAAACCCCTTTAAAGTCTCTTTAGAGTGTGCCTAGATTCTCAGATCTTGAAACCATGGGTAGCTTCTATCCAAGGCCAAAGGCTAGTTTGTGCTGTAGTATGTATATACAGTGTATATACACTATACCTTCCTCTCCTACAGGCTTCGAGTCAGTTGATCCTCTCACTCTTGGGGGATCATCTTCTATGATTTTGACATATATACACATAGATGGTCTCTACTCCCCTCCTCTTACAGTTGCCCTACCCATGTTTTGCCTTGAAGATATATAGAATCTAGACTCTTAGATGAAACCACTGAGCTTTTGATAGGATCCATTGTGTTCTTACACATTTGCCTCATCTTATGTCTCTCACTAGGGCCCTGTCTTTGTTCCAAGTCACTTATCCATTGTTTTCCTTAGCTCAGAAGACCATTGTTTAGTTTTGCAGGGGAAAAAGGAAAAAAGGGAACAGATGAACAAATTCAGTGAAACACAGGTATGTATCAGGCAGGTTTTGAACTCTCTCGTCCTCCAGGCTGACCATGAATTTGCAACTGCTAGCGCTTCTGAGTGCTAGCATTACAGGTGTGCATGACTATGCAAGCTCATTCATTCTTCTTTTGACTTGAATAGAATAGACCAAGGACTTACTTTTCCCCCAACTAAAATGTATTTATGGATTTCTAGAGAAAGGGGTGTTATTTAATGGAAGGTGAGAACAAGCTCTAGGGGTTAATTAGAATTAGATTTACTTAAACTCAGCTGTAAGTATTCACATTGAGTTTAGATTTTCAACATTCTGTCTTTTAACAATGAAATAAGTATGATGAATACCAGAGACATTAATTATTGATGACAGGATGTTCAAAGTTCTCTTGATTTTAAAAATATGTGACCACCATAAATAGACTGAGATGCCCCTTATGCAATATATATATATATGTATGTATATATATATATTTTTTTCTGCCTGGGATGTATGGAAGGAGTCATGGTATGTAGAGCCTAGCATGAAGAAAACTCATTTCTTGGATCTAAATCTAGTTCTAAGAGAGAAAATCCTTGGTCTCAGAGGGCGTGTCTGATGGGAAGAGGGTGGAGCCTCAGGAGCAGATGATGTAGGAGTTGATTTTGCTAGGGTGTGAGGTTCTACAGTATAATATAGGGAAGAGGCCTCTCATACCAAAGCCCAGTGGGTCTCTCCAGAAAGAGACTTTGGGATGAAGGAAGAAAAGAAGGGTCTGAAGCAAAAGACAAGTGTCCTAGTATTTGCCAGACTCTGTCCTAGGTTAAACCTCCCTGTGGCTGTTTCTTTTGGTACCTTTCACAGAGGCTGCTAACTGACTGGTTCAACACCAGCTCTCTTATCTCCCTTAGTAATAGAATCCCAATTTTATTGAAATGTCTATGTACTTACTAGAAAAGCGCATCTCCAGCCTGACTTCTGGATGGGTGCTGCTCTGTATTTAAGTTTTGGCTAACAAAAGGTGAACCTTATGAGGACATCTAGGACATCTTAGAGAGACAGTGCACAACTCTGCTTCTCCCCTTTCCAGTGCTGCTGACTCAATGCCTGGCTCTCCAGCAGCAATTTGGAACATGAAGAGATGCTCACAGCAATGGAAGGGGCCCAAGTCCTTAGTGATGAGGAACGATCATGTCAGCCCCGACACACAGAGAGAGCAGGGTTTTTTTTTATTATTTTAATTTTTTTATTATTTATTTTTAAATTTAAATTTAGAAACAAGGTTGCTTCACAAGTCAGTTCCAGGTCCCTCTCCGTTTCCCTCCCCTCCTCCCGTGCCCTCCCCCCACCCCCCCAATATCCCCTTATTTCCCCAGGGAGGGTGAGGCCCTCCATGGGGGTGTCCATAGGAGAGAGCAGGTTTTAAAAACTTCCTTTTATTCATTCTGTGTGTCTTACGCATCATGTGTCTTGATCCCATTCATCTCCCCGTCCCTTCACATCTGCCTTCTGCCCCTACAACGCCCCCCCCAATAAAACAAAATTTAAGAGAAAAAAAGGAAAATTAAAAATGTCATCATGGCATATGCAGTATGACACAGTCATGTATCTTCACTGACAAGTGTTCATCGCAAAGAGTCATTGTGTGATTTGAGGCCTCTGATTGCTGCTACACTATTGATGCTAGGCTCTCGACTCCTCTTGGAGATCCTGTTGTTGCCCTGTGTTGTGGGGATCCTGCAGCTTCGAGTCTGCAGGACTGGTGTCTTCCTGTGCTCCAGCAGGTCATAGATGGGGTGGATGTCGGGGTGGACCAAGTCACAACCTTGGTTCTGGGCCTGGGCAGTTGCAGGGTTGGTCAGCTCTCCCCTGTCCTCACCACCAGGGCCAGTGAGAGAGCAATTTTAATCTTATTTAAGTAATCATTATTCTTTTTTATTTTTCTTGTTTTATGCTGTTGAACTTAATGCAGATGGACAAAGTAACCCTTGTTTGTTGAGACCTCCCTAACAACCCACCGTGTTTCTCGCACCATTCCTAGATGTGAAATACACATTGCACTGGGTTCCAGAGAGATTGCTCTGCAGGTAAGAGCACTGCAGGGGACCTGGGTTCCGATCTCAGAAGGTATAAACATGGCAGCTCAAGCTCCAGGGATTGCAATGCCCTCTTCTGGCCTCTGCTTCCACTGCATGCACGTGGTGAAGCAAATCATACAAACATGCAGACAAAATACGCCTAAAATGAAGACAAATTCTAAAACGCATAGAGGGCCAAACCTGTTGTGTATTGCAGACAAGTCTTTAACACCCACACATGACATTCTTGTAAATGCCCCTTTCCTTCCGTGACAAGGTTTCTCCTGGGCCGTTCTTCACCTTCACTTCCCCGCCCCTCCTCTTAGTGCATGGAGTAGGAGGAGATGCTGTGAGGAAGTGAGTTACATGCTCAGGCTTCCTGCTGCCGTCATCGGCACCCCCCCAGACAGATGACAAAACTTCAGTTTTGAGAGTATGTGATTC